AAAGGACAGGATTTTAATCACTGGTAGGAAAGATATAAGAGACAGTTTGGCTGTAGAGATAAACAAGCCAGTAGATTGATAAGTATTTCATTTAAAATCAATTTTGCAAAAAGCGCGCCATTTTGGCCCCATAGAGAAAAAGGAACCATTACTGTCATTAAAATGTAATAAAAACGCCAGGTTCACAATTAAAAAAAAAAAAAAAAAAATACATGTACATTTTTATATATATGTAAATGCAATTTTATTTGTTGCCGTCGGATGGTTTTCCTTCTCCTCTGGCGGCTTAAAGCAGTTGCAAGTTATCTCGATGTTTTTAATACGAATTCGAGGCTTTTTTCCAATTCATGAGTTTCCAAGCAAAGAGCATTGACATCTCATTCGAATATATAATTGTGCTGAGACTAAGAAAAACACTTCAAAACAACACATTTGACCGTAAAATTACAACGAAGAAATCAGGTGCATTTTATAAAAATTTCCAATTTGATGATAGCTCTGAATGAAAATTGCACGAGTTAATCATTTACATGCACCGATATAACGGCCAGAAAAGACATTTCATTTGGTGACATTTTGCGCTCTTACATGCATCAATACAAAGGGGAGAGAGGAAAATAAGAATTATTGTTTGAAACATAAAAACGTAAATCTTTGACATAAATTAGAAAATTTTTCGAGAAACGAAAAATCTACATGCATATGCAATTTCTTTCACGATTACATGAAATCTTTGATTAGTTATATAGTGTATAAATGAAGAAGTTCAACTTTTTAACAGTATCTGCAAACAGATTCAATTGCACTGAGTTCTTTTAACGATGCCGTTTGTTCTTTTGCGTTACGGACTAGGGAATGCAATTGATAATTGCAACCCTTTTAGTCATAATGGTAAACAAGAGATGTCAAATTGTTGATTCTAATCTCAAACGAGATATCCTTTAATGGCAAACGAGCCACATAAAGTTAATTACAAACAAGCGGTGTTCTGAATCATGTAGATGCAGTTGATATTTTTTTAAATAATTTTCATGAACCGACCTCTTGAATTGTTAGCTGGTTCCAAATGTTATTCAAATAGAAAAACCATCATATATTGTTTGGTGGAAAGTTTGCCTTCATGTCGATTGAGGGAGAAAAATTACTTGTTTTTAATCTGTTTGGTTTGAATGAGTAATGACGTACTATCTGTTGCCATTCATATTTAAGACTCATGTAAACTCAGCCTGAAATCCTGTATTTTCCTTGCCTTTTCATTAATTTCACCTTGATTTAACAATCGCACACGGTATGGTATTAAAAAGTGTTTCGTGACTGCTTTTTTTAATCGGGTGATGAATTTTCAAAATACATCTCAGTCAAAATGGTTGAGTTTCTCGAAACTGAAATTGGAAAATAAAAAAAATTATACTCACTATTGTCTTTTTGAAATCAGTTGCCTGTTCACCAAATTACCTCTCCTTTCAGATTTGATTACCTCAAATTTTCGAATCTTTTCTCCACCGCTCATTTAATGCGACTGAGGCGGATTTGAGTCTGTTTGAGTATGTCTGCAGGGACATTGGGACAAGGACGTAAGCCTTTTTGGTGTATTTACTAATTTCAAAACTTCGCGAAGCCCTGGGTCTGCCAATCAACAATTCTTATAAACTAAATCTCATAGATATCACCAGCTAAACTGGGGATATTAGAAGATATCACGTAATGAAAAGTATAATTAAAAACTGGATCATTGGATAATGCAATTCAAGACTTTTTATTGGCTTAGCCATTATGGTATATGAGCCAATATACAATAATCTAATATCTGTACATTGTAACATCCGGTTTCTTCTAACAAAATAAAGTCGAGAAGATTTGTCTAATATCTTGGGGGCGCTTTTTTTTAATAAAACAATTATTATCCATAGGTATGCAGACTGGTATGGTAGATGATGATGGTGGTCTCGGATGACTCACGCCATAATACGGACACAAGCAGTTTATCTTTTGATGCAGGTATGAGTTTATCACTTATTATATAAGGCAAGAAATTTCGGAGATTTGATTGGTTGACAGCAATTCACCATTATACTGTAATTGTGGTATAATAGCAAAAATGGATGGTGTAACAAGGTTAGGAATGACAACACGGTAAGGAAAGATTGTTACAAATGCTGACGCCTGTGTTTGTCTTTCCCATTGCAATAAAATAAAGGTCTCCTGTATGTGCATTACCAAAATTTTCTTGACTTCTATTATAAACAAATAATAGCATGACTTATGGGTGGTATTTGTCAATAATACTGGCCCATTATCAATATTAATTTTCAAAATTTTCCAAATATCATGCACTCACCCCTTCATGGTATGCCGTATTTTGGACAATTTTGGAAGATCACTTGAAAGTGGTTAATTACTNGTTCCTGATTTCAACAGGTCTAATTGTAATTATTAAAAACTGGATCATTGGATAATGCAATTCAAGACTTTTTATTGGCTTAGCCATTATGGTATATGAGCCAATATACCATAATCTAATATCTGTACATTGTAACATCCGGTTTCTTCTAACAAAATAAAGTCGAGAAGATTTGTCTAATATCTTGGGGGCGCTTTTTTTTAATAAAACAATTATTCCACTCACGCTTGTTGAATATGAGATGATTATAGCCAACTCGGCGCTACGCCCCTCGTTGGCTATTTATCATCTCATATCCAACGCGCGCTTGTGGAATAATTGTTAAATATTCCTAAATTTTCAAACCTAACGTCCACTACAATAATTCTTTATTCATTCAAAATTCCATTTAAGATGAGAGCGTTTTGAAGTTTTAGCAGAAGAAGGCATATATTTGTTTGGTCATAAAGTCGTACAAGAGAAAACTGATAAGGAAACGTAGCAAACAGCAAGCTGTTCGTAAACATTTTTTCACGCACGTTGCAAAATATTTGAGGGATAATAAACATAATAGCCTCTATTTTAGTTAAACTGTGCTGGTATTTTTGTCCTTGGACAATGATTGTCTATTCGCAGATGGAACAGTTTTCCGAGACCGAAGCTCGAGGAAAACTGTGAGCTTCGCAGAACAGATAATGTCCGTGGACAAATATTCGTGCATATTTTCGCGCAAAATAGAGAATATTGTTAACAAATACACTTATTTTTCTTACAATATTTACCGCAGCTTACACGCCTGAAATACTGTGGAGTGGTCACAATCTATCCCAAGGTAGATCAATTAGCTGATTCATTCTTTTGAGATGCTAGGTGACAAATAAAATCACTATATTCATAAATTATGTGGTTACCTTGCGTAATTTTGATGTCTGCCAGTGTCAGAGTAGACGATCCTTCATATTTCCCGATATAGAATGTCTTTTTTTTCGTGACGTTCGCGGAGGTGTTGAGGGCAGAAGATAAAATGTTACTCTTGGACCTTGTCCCTCGCGTGTAACACGTGATTTGACGTGATCGCATGATTCGATGGGCGCTAGTCCAAGTTTATTGCACGCGATATCAACATCTGCTAAAGCGTACCTAAAATGAGATAAGATAAGAACGAATTGGCCGTGTACTGTTCCAAGCCACTGAGCTCTGTTGACATTCTTTTAGTGTAATACTGTTGCCTAGCGAAGTAACCATTTTTAAGGTTACTGCATCCTATGGAGGCGAATTCGCGAAGCCATAATGTTGTCCTGCCGAGTGAGTGTAACAATAGAACACGAATGACCTCTTAGCCCATGACGAAATTTGCCGAGTTTTACTCGATATTTTTCGTTCTTGGCCTTTGTTTGTTTCGGAACATCTTCGGTCGTTTAAAATATTCAACAGGTTTGGTAAATGGTCGGCTGATTTGAAATGAGGATTTCGGATCGCTAGCGTTTGTGGGATGACACACTCAAGAAAGGTGCATAGACCGCCTCATTTTAAACGAAAGCTCCTTAATTGCCACCTTAGCAGGCAAAAGGGGCCTCAGTTTCCCACCTTAGATTTCCAGAAGAAAAAACGAAGAGACTCCCCAAAACATAATAAATAAAGAATTTGGATTCTATCAAAATATTACTAAACAACGCATATTTGGATAAAAAAAATTGTGATGCTATTTACAAGTGAGTGACTTAGTTACGATTCAAATAAGTGTTCCTAAAAGGGGTCTAGACAAGTTGAAGAAAAAGAAAACAGCCGCACTATAATTAATTGGTTTGCTTCCTACGAGAAAATGACAATTCAGTTCACCTTTCTTAAGAGCTCCAGTCATCATTTCGTATGGTGCAAAACCCGCGTCGCACAACCGCCTCCCGGTTAGCGCAATTGGTTAGAGCGCTGGACTGTTGTGCGGGAGGTCGAGGTCGAGGTCGATGGTTCGAGCCCCGGCCAGACCAGCACTCAAGGTCTTAAAATAACTGAGGATAATGCGCTACTTTTCTTTCTTTAATAAAAAATGAATAGACATTCTTGTCTTCTCGGACAAGGACGAATAAACCGTAGGTCCCGTCTCCTGCATCTATTAACCAGTTAATTTGGTTAGGCAGGGGACGTTAAAGAACCCACTCACGAGATTACTGTGATGTGGTCTGGCCTGTTTACTGGGAATTGGGGGGGAGGGGGCATCTTCAAATAAGTTTCCTCCGATTGTTCGTAAACTGCTGATGCAGTCCGGCCAAAGTCCCCCGAACAGTGTTGTGATGCGCATTTGATCATATCCACATGTTAATTTTCGCAATATAAATATTAAATTATTATTGTTAGTTATTAAATTATTATTGTTAGCAAGAGCCATAATTATGGCTCTGGTTGTTAGTTATGGAATTATTATTGTTAGTTATTAAATTATTATAGAATGTCGGTATTTTAACGTCCTGGGTGGCGAGAAATTTCCTGTTACACGTACATGTTTATGTACACCGTTGATTCCAGCTATTCAGGATGTAGACACTATGTTAGCGTTCTACACAGCAGATCTTTCCACACTAGTTTTTCCGCTGACCAGCATATCATCTAATATTCTGAAATGACAAAATTTTCTGCAAGGCCCATTTGCTGGCAACAAACAATTGTACTTTGCTTTTAGTCTGAAGCGATTCCAGCTTATTTCGTTTTAAGAATTCTTAGAAGGAGGTCGACGAGTAGTTTAGTTCAACAATGGCTATAAGATGGACTCAGGAGGTCGAAGGAGGCCCGCGGCGAGTGAATCATGCAGCAGTCGCCATTCGAAATCGCTTTATATTTAGTTTTGGTGGTTATTGTACAGGCGAAGAATACAACCAAATTGTCAATATAGATGTTCATGTTTTCGATACAGGTAAGTTTGTTGAATTTGAGGTTAAAAATTCACGGCTTTTGTTAATTGTGGAGTTCAGCGCGCAAAAAAATTAGGATTCGAACGTGCGTGCTTTTCCCGAAGAGACAAATTAAAAACTTGTCAGAAGCAAGTATGTTTTTTTAAAAACCTACCGGAAATGCATTGTTACCAATCTTTCTGCGTAGCCAATATCTCGCAGTTTTCGTTTTGCTGCTTAGGTGAATTCGTGTATCAATGTCGCATATTAAATCGTTGCATTGATTCAACGGTAAGTGGTGTTCTTAAACTTAAAACCTTTAAAAAAAAAACACTCGAGTTCGACGGTAGACCGAAGTTGTTTACGTGCGCATTCTAATTTACAGCATTCGCAATGAATTAATAATATGGCCACAAGTTTGTGGCTTGAATGTTGTTATTCTTGTGCTAAAAATAATGTCTTTCTTCGTTGGAATGAACGTGCAAAGGATAGAAGAGGTAGAAATTTACTGCTAACCATAATCAAGCGCAGAAAACAAGCTCTCTACATCTGAAGATCGTACAGTAACTACACTATTTAGGGACGTTAAATATTTTATCGTTTCGAATTTGCAACAGCATTAGCTTTCGGTCCCTTCATGAAGCATCAAGGACCAATACTATAATTACATAATAATTTTTTCAAAAGAAAGCTCTTCTTTAATGTAAGTACAAACTGTAAGTTAATTGTGAGTGATTTGATTTTGATTACAAACTTCACAGCTACAATGAAAATAAATTATTGTGTATAATTTTGGGCGTTTTTAGATCTTTCTCCTTCCGACTAGTACTTACTTGTTACCTCTATAGCCTGGGGCCATTTCTCAAAAGTCTTGGTAGCTTTACAGGCCTGAAAGCATATTTTGAAATCAAAATTTAAGAGTAGAGAAGTGGTTCTGGCATAAGTCCATTTTGTTTCTTTACTTGTAGGTGATATTTCTCTTATGTACATGTATTTTTCAAAACTTTGGAAAACCCCATTTTGAATGAAAACAGAACAACATGAAGGGCCTGTTGGGATAAGCAAGCCTCAAGGCTTGATTTAACATTGCTTCAAGGATAACCCTTTCACTCCCACAAGTGACCATGACATAATTTCTCCTTACAATATTAAGCAGACAAGTGATGAGATTATTGGTTGACCCAATACCAAATTCTCCAAACTAACATTATAGGATTTGTATAACAGACAGTAAGGAGAATTAACGAGATCTCGGAAATGAAAGGGTTAGTTTGTTTGCAGGGTTTGTCAAAGCCTGTGGATTTTTTACTTAGCATCCATCAGTTGTCCTACTTTTGTATATCTAACCACCCAATTTCTATTATGAAACATTGGATGTAGAACTACCTTATGGTTGTCTTTGCTGAATTCAATTTAATTCAGTGAATTTTGCGAGAGGGCACAATATTGTTGTGATGAAATACTGTCAGAACTATGCAGGCCAGTATTATTGTTAAATCATCAGTGGGCTGTGATTGTTATATGGTCATGTGCATGTGCATGCGTTTGCTGTTTATATACAGCTCAGTAATTTATGCATTAGGGCATCTCAGTGTCACATTTTCAACCTGTAACTGCTCCCTGTGAGTTTGACGGATTAAAATGAATTTTTGGGTGGTCCTCGGTGTAAAAACCTGACGAGGTTTTCTTTGTTTCACGAGGTATTGTTTTGCTGTAGGCTATTGTTTATAATGTTTTGTTGTCTTTGTTTTATGTCACTCGTGAGCTTTACAGGTTTTTACACCAAGGATGAGTGGAATTTTTAAGCTACATGTTAAGCCTCTCATTACAATTTAATTTTTAGTTACCACTCCAACACCACATTCTTTTAATATGTATGTAAAGCTTAAACCTCCCGATTTTCCCAATTTTTATAGATGCATTTCTTTATTAGCTAATCCTAAAAATTCAGTGTTAAACCAAATTATCCCTTAATAGGCCATTTTACAGTTGTGTGCTTAGTTGCCAAGCCTTTGATTTAGAGTGAGGCTGAAGGTGACCTTGTCGGGATAGAGACCTGGATCTAGTTAGCATGACAACAAAGTGATTTGCGTTTGATAGGCAGCAGGGTTTGTATCATAACAAGGTCAACCCCAGCCTCACTCCTGTTCAAAGGCTCGGCCATGACAGGCCGTTTGTAGCAATATTCAATAATTCTTTCATTCAACTATTCAACTGCAATTCAACCGTTCAATTCAACCCCAATTCAACCATTCAACACCCCCATTCAACTATTTAAGAATCTATTCAACTATTCAACACCAATTCAACTATTCAACACCAATTCAACTATTCAACCCCAATTCAACCATTCAACACCCTCATTCAACCATTTAAGAATCTATTCATTTATTCAACACCAATTCAACTATTCAACCCCAATTCAACTATTCAATCCCGCATTCAACCATTTAATCCCGCATTCAGACCCAATGGTTGTAGGACTGAGTAACCTGGCACAATGACACAAAAGACATTTTTAGACATCTGTTATGTTAACTTGGAAATATTGTACGCAGTAAATATTCCTTCGATTGACATTTATAGCATTATGACGTATTTCTTCAAACAGGTTCAATAAAAGAATTAAATCAAAATTGAATTAATTAAAAAGACCAAAAAATTTTGTTGGTTAGCGATACACACTAAGATGAGTTGCCTGTGGTTTCCCAAAGTTCCTTGCAGAAGTTCCTCAAGTGTTTCAGAAGATACGTTGTCCACCCAGGTGAAGAAATATTTGCTTGTCTGTTTGAGCCCAAGTTAGCGACAGTTGTTGGGGTAATGGAAGCTACAGACAATAAATGGTTCCAGCCTTGTAAAATATCATCAAAAGGGGACGTAATTTTTTTGCAACTGTGTTTTCCTGTTATCTTCAAAGTGGAAACAATCTTCCAGCTTTCTTGACATGGAGATTGTTTTGTCAAGTGTTATGGCATGCTTTTCCAATGGTTCCACCTCGAAAGGAATCTTACATAACTGAGTTGTCATGTTAAGGATGTGGTTTAAAAAACTAGGTATTTCTGTTAGCTCAAATTGCTGTGCTTCTGCCGCCATCTTCCTTTCTATGATAACATAGGTTTCAGGCTCCAGCTCGGCTGTCTTTCGTGCCATTTTCCCCAGTCCACCAGTTGAATGGTTGATTGCAGGATTGAATGATTGAATGCACGATTGAATTATTGAATTGGGATTAAATAATTTAATGGGGTTGAATAGTTGAATCGGGGTTGAACAGTTGAATAGATTCTTGAATGGTTCAATGGGGGTGTTGAATTGAACGGTTGAATTGCAGTTGAATGGTTGAATGAAAGAATTATTGAATATTGCTACAAACGGCCTGCCATACTCGGCAACCAAGCACACAACTGTAAAATGTAAAATTATTTACTATTGTAAAATTTCTCAACTCACACACCTCCCAGTTCTAGAGTGTATTGAAATTGTATACAGGGCTGGACAATAATGGTAGCCAACTAGCTACAGACTAGTAAAAGTTCAGTTTTAGCTTGTGGGTTTTGATTTCCACCAGCCAGTTTGGCTAGTAAACAAATTGAAATTGTACAGTAAGTTGTAACATCTAACATCTTTTCAACTTACTAACATCTAGTAAGTTGAAAAGTTAGTGTCGAATCCTGTCTATAGAGAACTTAAATATTGATCATTCTTGAGTGCAAAAGCCCTAATAGACTGGTCGTGTTCCTTGCAGTTCCATGCCGATGGATGAAGCTTCCTCCAGCATCTTGTGAATTTAAAGGATGTGTTCCATACATGAGATATGGTCACAGTGCATCAGCCATAAGTGATCTGGTGTACATATTTGGAGGAAGAAATGACACACATGGAGCCTGTAACATACTCTACTGCTTTGACACAGGTGAGCTGAGTTATATGGTAATTCGTGTACGTAAATGTTACAGATTCTATACCACTGTGAGGAGTGCAAAGATATTTAATATTTAACTGTGGAAAGTACAGCCGATCAGAATGCAGGAAAGCAGGGGAGCCGTTGTTTATTTAACAGTTTAAACAAGATGCTCTGTGGTCTTATTCCTGCTAATGTTTAGTAACCAGCATCATTTCATTGTTCTCCCTTTTTTTTAAGCACAACCGGTTAAAAATTACTTTTCAAACCAGTAAAGCAATCCTTTTATCTGTTGAATGTTCAAGAATTTCAAGCAGTTTTAAGGCAGTAATAAGAGGTGCTATACAGGGTAAATTTTTTACTGGCTACAACCTGAAAAGGGGAACGCTACATTTCCAATTCATTCATTGACAAGTGTCTTACTTATCTTACAACTTGACAGGTATTCTTGTATTCTGTACCATGAGTTTTTAGCAACACTGTTGTATTCTTGTATTCTGTGCCATGAATTTTTAGCAATACTGTTTTAATATTTTATAAACAATGCCGAGATAGCAGAGAACAGATAGCTATCTAGTGATTCATATAATTTTTTCTTCTTTTGTTTTTTTTCCAGGGAGCTTAACATGGTCCAAACCTAAAGTAAATGGAAAGCCTCCAGCTGCTCGGGATGGCCACTCAGCTTGTGTTATTGAATCTAGGATTTATATCTTTGGTGGATACGAAGAAGAGGTGAAACTAACAAATTCTTGATGGTAATTTAAGCCTTTCACTCCCAGAAGTGATTAACATGCAACTTCTCATTTAAATACCTAGACATTATTTCACAAAGAGGTAATGAGAATACTCAAACTTATCAAGCTGTGAGGAGCTGTTATCTTGATCTAACATCAAATTCTCGTAGCTAATTTGTAAGGAAATGCAAGGCAGCTAAAGGGGAGAATTGACAATCAGATCGGGGGAGTTAAAGGGTGGAGGGAGATAAACCTTTTTTCCTAAGATTTACAAATCAATTCTCCTCACTATCTGCTATACATTTTGTACAAGTATGATGTATGCACTGTCCTATTAGTGCTTGAAGTAGGCCACTGGTAGCCAATCATGTTTGAGGATTTTGTTATACTTTTCATCAAAATTCACAACTTCAAACATGTCTGTATTTTTAAGTGTCCTCCTTTGTGTTCCAAATAATTTATAGGGAGAGTGTTTTTCGAATTCAGTGGAATATCTGGATACACAAACACTAACATGGCACCAACCAAGAGTAACGGTAACTTTTTAAACCTTTACACTTGATCAGTATGTAGATTCTCCATACTGTTTCCTATACATTTCCTACTCATACCATGAATACTGCTTATTGGAAAATAATCCACATTGTTTGGAACCTGTCAAAAGTGCTATAACAGTGAGTGCAAACAAAACGAATTTGTGTAATAATCAAGGGCGTCTTCAGTTGGTGATTATTTGCTATATTCTCACAACCTTTATGTGCCATTTAGAGGTGATATCTTAAGAAGAAATTAGATTTCAGTCACTCCCAGTTGTCCAAGGGGTGTTAAGGGGGGGGTGGGGTGTGAATGTAGCTTATGTTAACCCTCAAAATTCTCTGCAAAACTCACTGCAAAATTCTCTGCTAAATTCTCTGCAAAATTCAAAATGCCACTGCAAAATTCTCTGCAAAAATTCTTTGCAAAATTCAAAATGCCACTGCAAAATTCTCTGCTAAATTCTTTGCAAAATTCAAAATGCCACTGCAAAATTCTCTGCAAAATTCAAAATGCCACCGCAAAATTCTCTGCAAAATTCTCTGCAAAATTCTCTGTAAAATTCTCTGCAAAATTCAAAATGCCACGGCAAAATTCACTGCAAAATTCAAAATGCCACTGCAAAATTCTCTGCAAAATTCAAAATGCCACTGCAAAATTCTCTTCAAAATTCTCTGCCACTCTACAATAACTTTGCCCTGAAAATTCTGCTTTTGATGTTTCTCCTTTGCCAACCACAGCAGCAACTCCTAAGAATTTCCATGTCATCACTGACAATAACCTTAAACAAAGTAATAACTATATTTATTACACGACTCGGGCAGTCAGAGGGCCAATAACTAAAATCAACCGATCAAAATGCTCTATTGCCGGTCCAATATTCTCTAAGTATTGGACCGGGCACTGTCCCGAATGGTCCCGAATGATACCGTACTTGTGTCCCTTTGAACTTCAGTCGTATAATAAATCTCTTATTAACCAAGCTTGCTCGGGACCGTACTGGAAGAATATCGGCCCTCGGTCTTTTTTGTACGGACCTCGCTGCGCTCGGTCCGTACTGTCAAGACCTCGGGCCGATATTCTCCCAGTACGGCCCTCGCGCTTGGTTAATAAGATATATATACTATAAATGTTGTATATCTTTGGGGGCAGAGGTGAGATTGTTTACTGACAAATGTTGGCAGGAAGATCAAATATTTTCTTGCAATGAGACGGAAGGACATGTTAAGTCATGTGGTTTTTTTGGTGCTTTTATTTTTTTTCTGTTTGCGTGGCTATTTAATTATAACACTGTCAGACTGTTTTATCTACTCATGGAATGATGAATTTATCTCCACTTCCTCTAACTGACATGTATTTGAATGGTTACCTGTTGTGATCTTTTCCAAAGCCCTCGTCAGTTACCCTGTTATTTTCAAAATTCTTCTCAAGGAGGATGTGCTCTGTGATAATTTTAAGTCCAGTATACAGTGTGACAACAAACTTGAGACTCAAGCTAATTAACCCTACTTTGGATACAATGAATATATGAAGTTCATATATTTTGAACTGCAGTTCAAAATATATGAACTTCATATCATTGTATCTGATTTATCATCACGGATCTATTACGAATCAACTTAATGGCCTGCTCCCAGTTGGCTTGTTAGCTCAATTGGTAGAGCGCTGCACTAGTATCGCAGAGGTCAGTGGTTCGAATCCCATACAGGCCTGATTTTTTTTAGGTCTGATTTTTGCTATTGCATAAATAGCGCTATCTACTGCGAAGGATTGTGCATCATACGTAATCCTACTTTGTTTCTCTACCCAAAGACAAAGTGGGGTTTAGCTTGAATTTTAAAGTTTGTTGTCACTTTGTATATTGGACAGCCAAGTCATTTCACCTGGTTATGAATGGCATAACTTGGAGAAATTGCATTGTGATAACTCCAGAGAGTAGAGTATTTTTCACTCGGTGTGTGTCAAAAAACAACAGCAAAGTAATCAAAATTACTAATCAGAACAAAAGTAAAGCCAGGGAAACAACACCATTAACAAATGAGAACTCAAAGTAAAAACCTGGGAGCCTGCTTAAAGTGTGGAAAGTTTGAGAGAACAAGTTTGGATTGGTTGTAATTATTTTTGTGTGATTGGTTGAGATGGTGCGTGCCAGTTTTCTGGACCAATCACAGAGTGAAGTAAAGCAAAACCAATGCAGTCGTGGATTACTCTTGCTACTCAATCAAAAACTGTTCTGAGTAATGGGTCGGAACTAAATGAAAAATTATTTTGGTTTGTTGTTTACTTGTAGGAGATAGACTTGGGCAGTACCATTCTGGGCAGGAAGTTTACTCCAGTTCAGTTAGAGTGTTTGATACAGGTTTGTATTGCATGAGAATTTATGATAATCACAGTTCCATAGTTGCATATTAAATTGTTTAATTATGAGAATACTGCGTTTACAAATAAACTGCCTCTTGCAATGTTTATCATACCTCTGATGTCGATTCCACCTGAAACTTGACACCTTAATTTTGCAGTTAAGAATTGCTGGTTTAAATTAAACAAATCAGGAAACATACCCATCGGAAGGCGGAGTCACTCTGCAGGTTAGTCACTGTTTGCAAATGAACATTGTGTCAGAGTTAGTTGATTTGGTAGTCAAATTCAATTGTATGAGTATGCATATAAGCTTTACATTCCCTTTGTGCACTCTGATGTGGCGTGTGTCCACCTTGAGGCATAGCAGAGAGGATTTATCTTTCTACGACATTAAACCTGCAGGGTTGAAATTGTCACTAGGCAATAGGTTCATGTGTCAGTGTGTGCTCATCAAGATTTGAAGAGAACTCTGAAGAAGTTAAGGTGCAAGCTACAAGTTCTGGTACAGTTTTTAGGTAACAAGCTTTCCACTTAATTAACTTTTTACTGGTAATTTTTTCACAGTTGCGTACGGAAAACACATTTATGTTTTTGGTGGTTACAATGGGATTCAGAGGAAACATTATGGAGAGGTGTTTAGTTTAGACACAGGTATAAAAATTTTTCTAAAGTCCCTCTGTTTTCTGGTGTTGTAGGAATGCTTTTTGTGAGTCATCTTAGCACTACACTGACCAGGTTGTGTTACTACAACTGTACACAGACTGAGAATATCCAGAGAGTAGTTGATTTTCTTATGAGTTGCAACTTAATGGCCACAGCTTAATTTTGCTACTCAATGAAAGCCAGTTTACACTCCTTTTAGATACCAATGTTTGGACAAAACTGGACATTTCAGGACATGGGCCGTGTCCACGAAGGAGGCACTGCTGTTGTTTGATAGGAACCAGATTGATGATCTTTGGCGGAACAAGGTATTTGCATAAGTAGGCCTGCTGTTAATAGGGACTTTAAGCAAACCACGACGGCTACGGCAACGAGAACGTGGAAAAACAATAGATCTAATTGGCAGAACAATAGCCCAGCACGTGCGTTTTAAAACTTTGTACATTTCTTAGCCGTCCTTTGCAAAACAACAACGTGAAATCACCAAAATCTGCGTCGTCTGCGAAGCGAAACCGCGGCGGCAAATTATTTTAATTTACATTTGGAACTCAACGCTGCTTTTATGCGTTATGTTGAGTTTGAGGTCTGGCGCCTTATGAGACGGTAAACACATGCAGCCATTCTGGAAATACTAACTAAAAGTAGAAAATCATTTTTTAATCGACGTCTTTTGTGGCGTTGCCGTCCTGACTGCTTAATGTCCCTAACGAAGGAAAAGTGAATTGAACCAAGATGTTTACATATGGATCAACTACATATTTCAAAGTACTGTAGTAGCAGTGGTCGAATTCACACAAACCTCTTAGTGTTGTGTTTTCTTTTTCTTTATTTGTAGCCCTGCCGCAGGAGAACCAGCTGACGATGAATATCACCTTCAGGATCATTCTGATCTGTACATCTTAGATCTTGGTAAGTGTACACTATAGATTAATGTATATCTTCACCTTTGCAATGAAGGGGAAAGCAATCAGGAGTGCACAGGGGAGAAACTCCAAATTACACAGGGGCGTTAATCTAGAGTCGGCACGGAAGGTAATCTGGAATGGAAAGGGATGGTAACCTAAGTGTGATCCTGAGGGTAATGCAGAGTGCACAAGGAAGGAAATCTCGAGAAAGCACAGGTATAGATGTTCATCTTGAGTGCAAAGGAAGCGCAACCTTGGTTTTTTAGCGCACAGGGAGGGTGATACTGAGAACACAAGAAGGGTAATTCTGAGCTCTTGTTTAAAAAGCAAATGAGTAAACTGGTCTTTTTATCTCAAAGAAGGAGGGCAATCCTTTATTTGCAAGTTCCCAACTCAGAATTTGGTGCATCATGCTCACTTGTGGAACAAAGATATCCAAATTGCGATTGACGTTTTTTCATAATATCGCTGCACTGGGTAGCATCGTTAATAAATGGCGCCACAGACCATAATGAGTATATGTCCTTAACTCCACAGAGCCGTCACTTCGGACATTATGTAAACTAGCTGTTATTCAGTACAAACTGGATCAAACACCTCTTCCCAAAGTACTCAAGTAAGAACAGCGTTTTATACACGATGTCATTGAGATATACATTTGCTTATAATTCTTAGACTGTAGTTCATGAGATGAAATGAGAATACCGTGCCCATGATAAGGCCACAAGACCAAAACCCCTTTGATTCGAGATTTCGGGCCTCCCTACAGGGGTATTCAATTGAGTGAAAAGCACAGTGTCGCTCAAAAGTAAGTGGACAGTTTCGACTCGAAACTCGATTCTCGAAAGTTTTGAGAATCAATTTCCTAAGTTTGAGTCTCAGAATTTTATTTTTTCTCCAAGTTCGCTCTGTGATGGGTCCAGAAAACTCGCACCAATTCCCCCAATTAATGTGGTGCAAAACTGAAACTGATTACAACCGGTTTTTCCAGCGCTTGAGTCGGCGTGTTCTCTGAGCGCCTCATTGGTTCCTTGCGATGTTGACCTTTTTTTCTGATTGGCTGTGGTAATTACTTTGGGTTTTTGTGTTGACGACTCTGAATGGAAACGCGCAGAAATGTTTTTCATCGTAATCGTAGAAAGTAACTTTACCGGTTAAAATTATTTTGTCATTTGGTGATAAAAAATGCTACAACGGAAAAGTGATTTGTTTGTTTCCTTCCGACACGCAATGCGAACTTGTTTCGTGCGCAAAGCTCGAACTAAGAAGTAGGTTTTATTTTGATGTTAGAGACCTTAAGCAGTGAGGACGGCAACGCCAAGGAAGACTTCGATTAAAAAATGAATTTCTACTCTTAGTTAGAATTTCAAAAATATCTGCATGAGCTTACTGTCTCGTACGGCGCCACAGCTCAACTTCAGTATGACGTAAAAAAGTAGCGTTGAGTTCCAAATGGAAATTAAAATATTTGCCGTCGCGGTTTCGGCTCACAGACGACGCAAATTTTTGCGATTTCACGTTGTTGTTTTGCATAGGACGGCTTAGAAATGTACAAAGTTTCAAAATGCACATGCTGACCTATTATTCTGCCAATTAGACCTCTTGTTTTTCCACGTCCTCGTTGCCGTCGCCGTCGTGGTTGCTTAAGGTCCTATTGTAAATTGACAACCGTAAAGCCTACGTTTCGAGCCTTAGGCTTTCGCCAGAATAAAGAAGTAGGTGGCTGAGGGTAAGTGAGTGGAAAGTCGCGAAAGTTAGTATCCCTATTGGTCGTTCACGTTCACCTCAATATTTTCGGCCATGAGATGTCTGGTCAAAATGTGTGTAACTTTTAGTTTTCTTAACTTCAGAACGGAGCTGAGTATCATGGAAGCCGGCAGAAGTTCTGTACGATCCTCACAAGGATAGCAAAGTTCAAGACGTGTTTGTTAATTGTGACTTCCATCGCACGTGCACGTGGGCTTCACGTGCATAGTGGGTCCATGTGTGTCACGTGGAGGAATCATCACGTAGATAGCTTGGCGGGTACATCATAGATAAGGCGTGAACATAAGCCTGGGCTTATCGATCCTCTTCCTGTTGGACATTTTTTACAAGAGCTTTTTAGATAAGCATACACATTGTACAGCCGAACAACTTTGGGATAGCTTTTGTAAACACTGCACCAACTTATTCTCAACAACCTATTATGTGTTATATATAAGCTTTGGATCTCGGTCCCGCTTTGAGACAAACTCTCACAGATACTTAGTACACATTTGAAACACGCAGTGGAGGGACCCCCACTCGTCTCTCCCTCATCAAAAAGGCAGTGAGACCAGTTCGTATGCGCATATTTACACTTTAGCGCAACCTCAGGTCAAAGGATATGCTGATGGGTTTTTGATGCATCACGTAAGATTACTAAGATGTCGTTATACGTAAGGTCTCTTCTCCACTGATTCAACTTACAACCCAATTAAGCAGTACAGCTAACTCATTAACGCAAATACAATCTACCCTAAATCTAAATGTCTAATCTGCAAAGGACAATACAGCCCATCTTCAGCAGATATACCCACCCATCTCATCCCAAGGGAGGACATCCACCACACAGTAATCTCGTGCGTGGAAAATTAACTTCTCCTACTCCTACATGATAATGCCTTTTCTTAGCTAATTTAAAGCAGTTTTCTATACATCAGCTATCTTGAGTAATACCGCTACATAGTTATTCGAGATCTTGACATTTCTCCGATGTGACGCCATTTTAGAACTGGTGACTTTAGGAGTGACCGCCAAATGAGTTACGTCATCTCATCCAACATGGCGACTTTTGGTCATATGAATCCACATTCTTCAACATAAAGAATTTTATAGGTTGTTCGAATAGTTTTTTTTTAATCTTAGGCATTTTAAGTTTCATTAGTAGCCATTTATAACGCTAGGACATGGTATTCGACCGATATAGGGGATAATTATTTTAGTTTTGGTTTTGTTTACCTTCATGTTGGCTATAATTTTATTGCAAAGAATTAATGTTAGTAAAATAAGAACTTGAATAGGAGAACTGCTCTTTGTATATATTATTCCTAAATAACTTATGTGTTGTATGTTGTACTGTCAGACAGTTATAATTACTAGAGTCCAAATTGGAACAGTTGCTTATAGCTATGGAAAAAATATTTTTACTTTTATATGCTTACGAGTGCTTTAAATTGGAAGTGAATTGTATTATATCTTAAAAGAGACAATTGGGAATTTATTTAGAGGGCGAGAGGAATTTCTTTTTAAAAATATTCAATTTATAATGCTTTGTTAATATGTAAATTTTCAGAGAACTCGTTTGTTAACTAAGTTATTACAGTATAGGGTAAATTTATTAATTTTTTTGCACAATTTTTCTTTCGTTGATTTTATCGCTAAGTTGCATATTTCTTCAAGAAGAAAAGAATAATTTTTGGAGTGAAAGTAAGATCTCAGATTTTTACACGGGCACGAAATAGAATTTTTTCCGTTTTAATTTAATTTTTCAAAGTTATAACTTAAGTCTTATTAGTGAATTACACTGATCTGTATTTACAATTGAATTAAGAAGTTACCCATCACATCGAATATTTGTGCCTGTGTTGGTCTATTTAAGGGAGAATTAATCCATCCCCACCCCTCCCCCACTCGGTTGAGAACCTGTTTCCGATCATTCCTTCATTTTAAAGCAATCTTCAGATGAGAATTAAAAATAATCAGATATCGCTTACGATTTGTTTCACTTTGGTCAGTTGTTGGTCCGAACAACGTACCCTACTTTAACCCATCAGATGCCAGAGGAAAGCCATTTACGACCTTGACACTACTCTCTTTTTCGGCGCGTTGGACAGTGCATTTACCTGTCTTAATATTATAATAAGATCGTTCTAATTATTGTTTATTCTTTTGGTCGTTCTATAGAATCAATCGTCGAACTTTTCAGCTTCGAGGTGTGACGCTATTTATTTGTCACGTCATGGAACAACATCACGCGATAACTAGTCAAAAAAACCTTCGGAGTATGTGACGGTTCATTTTATTAAAGAGTTTTATTGTAGAACACAGCACTCACATCAGATTGTTTGCAACCGGCTAATTGACATCGTCTGGTGTCAAAGACTTGCTAAAGGGCCAGACTCACACTTGTAAAGTTACTTCCTGGTCGCGTGAATGAAACTCGATTTCCTCGCGTTACTTAAGAATCATCTGAGGCGTTCAACCAATCAGGAAGAGGATGCTTTTCTCGGAATTGCAGACAAACTTTACATAGTTTCGCGGAATAATGCGAACGACGGTGGTGCTCAAGTGATGTTTGTCTCTTTCGCCTTATCTTTTCTTTTCTCGTGGTAAGCTGTGAACCAAATCAATTCCATGTGAGACTTGGTACGTATGAATTGTAAATATTGCTGAATTTTTAATCAATTCTAAGGAAACTGAAGCTGTGCGCCTTTTTATAAGCCTCAAAATTTGATCATGTATAAATGTATGGACATTTGTGCTTGGTAATATGCCGATGCTTGTCGTTGGAAAGAATTCTCACAACTTTAGTCGAATATCGCCCTGATTTTAGCAGGGAAGTGTGTCAACTGATCACAGAGGATGACAGAGTACAAACGTGAGCGTTCTCAAAACAAATCTAAAACGCTATGTTTCTATCCTAAATAACTCAATTTTAAAGGGTCTAAAAGCGTACTGAGTTTATCTGGTGGGTTAAAATTTTTAGTCTTCACTTTTATCTACCGCTTTATCGACAAATCCTCCACGCAACACGACAAAAGCACTTAAAAAATTGACGACTCGTGAACAGTTCGCTTAGTTTAAGATACAGTTCATTGAAGACATAATTTATTGTCGTCCTTGCCGCGGGTGGCTTTCTGATGGTCATAAATGTTACGTCATAAACCCTGATATTGTTGATGACAAAGTAAGATTTTCATCAACATGAGCAGATCATTCGTATCATAATTACATAACCAGTTAAAGTGTTCATAATTTTCCATAATTTGAGTTCTTTGACTCGAATTTTATTCTAAACAATGTTTTGGAACGATCAGCTCGTCGCGAGTAGTTTTGAGCTGAAGAGTTTACTGAAATCTGAATCTTGGGGCTTTTCGTATTCTCACAAAAACTTCATCATTGCGCACTTTCTTGACAAATTTTCTTGTTATGAAAGCACAAGCACTGTCAGTGTGTCAGTGACCAACGTTAGCTAATCAATAAACAACTCTTTCAGTCATTTCATTGTTTACACAAGCTAACAGACCGAAAACACATGCTACTTGGGTTAAAAGCCAATTGTATCACGACGAAACTGACCAATCAGCTTTCAGGAACCAGACCATATCAGTGTACTAACTTGTACTCTCACAAGGACTATTAAACCAACAATCAGTCATTATCTACCTTTTCTTTATTTTTCCCTGTTTTTTTGAACAGAAAATCTCATGTAGGTTAAATATTCCATGTCGCTGGTGACCTAACTTCCAAAGTAAAAAATATGAGGAGAAATAAACGACCCTTAAGCGAGGAGTGTCATGACTCATCGAGAACGAAGAGACTGTGCAGGTCTGTTAAAGGACAGGGACGCAGCCAAAGAAATGACAGTAGAACACGGCAGTCACGAAGGTTTTCTCAGGAAAGGCGAGAAATTGACAGAAATGGAGATAAAAACCGTGCGCTGGCTGAACTTCAGCAAAAAAGAGATCCCAATCCTCTCAATTATATGGCGTTAGATAAAATCTGCAAATCAAACTCTCCTGATGAGGGTATACTGGAACTGTTCAACAATTCCAAACGATTTGAGGCTCTGTTGAAGACAGAAACAATACGACCCGATCTGATGAAGCTTGTCATTCGAGCTATACACATGTGCTGCTCACCAAATGATAAGAAAGAGATTGCTAACAAAATGCTACGTACGGTAATTAAAACACATTTTCTGCAGTTGCATATAAACAAGTTTATCAGCGAAATGTCCAATGTCTCAGAGTTTGGTAACAATTACCAGCCTGATGAACTGGTCTTGCTGTTAGCAGAAGTTTTCCTGGAGTTGTTGCAGAGATTTGAACAGGACGTAGTTCACTTCATTCCCAATGCCCAACTGAGTGAGACAGTCGGAGATCTGAAGAGTAGAGGACTTCTACAAGACGCAGAGATGTTGGAGAAGAAACTTCAACAAGTCAAGGAGTACAAAGATGAAATAAATCGCCGGAAAACAACTCACCCAGACGAATCTCAGCTAACTCCACCCGAGGATTTCCGCTATATGAGCGTGATTCCTCAAGTAGTGGATTTGGAACCCCATAACAAGCCGTTTCTTCGAAAAAACGTGGTTGGTGGAAATTACTTAGACCAGGAGCACTATTTAGACGTGCAGTTTCGACTTTTAAGAGAAGACTTCATCTTGCCTCTTCGCAATGGAATAAAGCAGCTTAAAAAGGACCGTAGTCCCGCGGGAGCAAGTAACGTAAGCCACAGCAAACGTGCGCGAGATGTTCCCGTGTACCGTAACGTCACAATCTTATACCCCGTATGCAGCGGAAAGGGAATGGTTTACAGAATCCGGTTCGACTCATTTCACCGGGATGTACGTCACGTAAAATGGGAGAAGAAGAGCAAGCTTTTCAAGTTTGGCTCGCTACTTTGCCTTTCGGCCGACGAATTTCGCACTCTTTTATTTGCGACCGTGGAGAATCGAGATTCACGCGACCTTTGTGTTGGCGAGCTTGAAGTACGATTTGAAGATGCTCACCTTGAAACTCTGAATCAGTTGATTGAGGATAAAGAGAAGTTTGATATGGTAGAATCCCCAGCGTTCTTTCAAGCCTACAGACACGTTTTGGAAGGTTTGCAGGAAATTAAGGACGATGAACTTCCGTTTGCAGAGCATATCGTTCAATGCAATCAAGATGTGAAGCCACCTGCCTATGAAAACAAAAGTAGAGGTTTTTTCGACATGAGTGGAATAATAGAAGAAGGAGTGGACTTGACAGCATTCCAAGCAAGTAACACCATGGAAAACATGGAAACTGAGTCAGTTTCCCGTGAAGATAGTGTCGTCTCCGATTATCACGATTTACGCAATCGTGATGGGGGGTCAGATACCAAAGATGCCGATTGGGGTACGCCCGATCTGGAGTTGCTGTCCGAAGTCGTTTCAGCAAGTTTGGACATCGATTTGGAGTCAGTTGCCACTTATGAGCTCTCAATCAATGGTAACGAAGGTTCCAATGAGGGAACTCCGGTAGACGAGCGACCCGCTGGTGTCTTGAATATTTACGACTTGGAACTCAATCCAGAAGACCTGGGCTTCAACAAGTCACAGATGAGTGCGTTCAAAATGGCTCTGACAAAAAATTTTGCGGTGATACAAGGACCACCAGGTACTGGGAAGACGTACGTTGGTCGTAAGATAGCGCGTGTTCTGCTCCAGAGCAGCGCTTTGCGGGAGAATGAAAACGAACCGTCGCCAATTTTGATGGTGTCTTACACAAACCACGCCTTAGACGATTTCTTGAGTGGTCTTCCAAAAGAAGGTAAGAATGGAAACATTCTTGTAATTTGCGGTCCCTTTTTGCTGATTTAAGATTAATGTCGTGAGTATTTGATATAAGAATAATGTTTAGATGTCGGAAGTGTGATTGGTCGAGGAAACTCACGCCGTCCTCTTAACCAATCAGAACCGATCGTGACTCGGTCATTTGCGCCTTGAGGTGTGTTGCAATCCTTGTTTGTCTACTTTGATTTATCATTGGTTCCCTGTGACATTTCCTTTTTTTGATTCAGTGTCGTAATCAATTTGGTTTTCGCTTTGCGACACTCAAGAGAAGAGCACTCCAATCAAAGATGAGTTTTTTCTTCCCCTCCTGCACAGACCAGTTTGATCGATTGTTGTGGAGTTTGCTTCGAGAGGACACATGCAGTCTTAATTGACCCATACCTATGTTTATTTCTCGCTTGGCGTTCAATGAACGAATGTGCATAAATGATAACCTTGATCTGGCCTGTCGGATCCCAACAGGTATCGTGCGAGTTGGTGGACGTAACTGTGAAAAGTTGAAGGGCTGCACCCTGAGGGATCGGCGCGAGGAAGCGGCTGCCAACAAGCTTACTCCATACCAAATCTACCGCGCAAGAAAAAACGCTCAATGGGAGATCAAAGAGTTAAACAGAGATGGTGCCCTGGATCTTTGCATTACTGTTCTGAAGTACTCCAGAAGAAGGATTCTGGCCTTTCGCGTACTGGAGAAGTTCATGTTAGCTCGTCATGCCAGGTGGTTTAAAGCTTCGCAAGAGGACAGTGACTCTCTGTTGTGTGAATGGTTAAACTTACATTGTGATAAAGAGCGGAAGGATTCCAAAAGCAATGGACATGATATGGACAGGAACAAAGATTTTCATATGCAGGAGTCAGCTCGGAATTTCTCGAACGAAGATGATTACGAAGACATCGAGGAGGACGAAGCGGTGAAGCCTGCAGATGTGACTATTGGCACGACTGAAAACACTGCAAAACTTCGGAGGGATCTTCTCAGAGATAAAGTCATGAGTGATCGCGAAGAGAGAAATAGTCGGTCCGACCTGTTAGGATTTTCGCGACGTGACCGATGGAATCTGTACAGGTTATGGCTTCAGAAAGCAGAGAAGTACTACATGAAGAAACTTCAGGGAAAACAGCCAGATTTCGAAAGAGCATTGGCGCGGAAGTTTGATGTGATGCGCGAAGAAGACTTTCATGTTCTCCAGAGTGCGAAGATCATTGGAATGACTACTACCTGTGCCGCCAGATACCGCCGCACACTCCAGCGGATTCGCCCTAAAATTGTATTGGTCGAGGAAGCCGCTGAAGTACTGGAGGCTCACATAATTACGTCACTGACCAAGGAGTGTCAACACTTGATTTTGATTGGTGACCACAAGCAACTCAGACCTAAACCGGAAGTTTTTGAATTAGCCATGAAGTACCACCTGGATGTGTCCCTGTTTGAGCGAATGGTAAAGGTGGGACTTTATTGCGAGACACTCAACGTTCAGCATCGCATGAGACCTGAAATTGCCTCCTTGATGAAGCACATCTATGACGATCTTGAGAATCACGAGTCTGTGGAGGAGTATGAAGACATCAAAGGAATTAAGAAGAATATGTTCTTTATCAACCACAGTCATTTGGAGAATCCTTTTGAAGACTCTAACAGTCACGTGAATGATCACGAGGTTCAGTTTCTTGTGGCCTTGTGTCGTTATCTGTTGCAGCAAGGTTATGAAGCCCACCAAATTACCCTTTTGACAACTTACACGGGGCAAATGTTCGCCATCAGAGACTGTGTCCAAGAGAAAGAAATTGAAGATCTTAACCAAGTAAGTCTGACCACAGTTGACAACTTTCAAGGTGAAGAAAATGACATCATTCTTCTCTCGCTCGTGCGCAGCAACAAGGATGACAAGGCTGGCTTTATCCAGACCGAAAACCGCGCATGCGTGGCGCTTTCTCGTGCCAGAAAGGGTTTCTATTGTATTGGAAACTTCGCCCTTCTCTGCAAACACAGTGACGTCTGGAGCAAGGTTATTGACGATTTGAAAGTAAGTGGTAGCTTTGGGGAGGCCTTACCCCTTATTTGTCAAAGCCACAAAGAAGAGATCACAGCAAAAACAGCCGAAGATTTCGAAGAGAAAGCTCCTAACGGGGGTTGTCAGCGTCCTTGTGAAGTGCGCCTGGATTGCGGGCATGCCTGCAAACGATCATGTCACCCATTTGATGTTGAGCATTTGAAATATGTCTGTAAAGAGCAGTGCGCCCGGTACATTGTCGGCTGTGACCACATGTGCAGAAACCTCTGTTATCAGAAATGTGAAAAAGACTGTGGAGCGTTGGTGGAGAGAACTCTACCATCCTGCGGACACAAGACAACCGTGAGGTGCGGTATGAGCTTAAACAAGGCAAACTGCAAGGAGCAATGTGAAAAAATTCTACCCTGCTCTCACCGCTGTCAGAGCCGCTGCGGTCAAACTTGCACAAAAAAATGCCTAGAGCCTGTCAATAGAACAGATTGGCCATGTGGACATGGAGAAAATATTGCTTGCTCAACAACTCCGGCAGATTGCCCCAAGCGATGTCGAACCCTTTTGGAATGTGGCCACCCGTGCTCTGGGAACTGTGGGGAGTGTCGCATGGGTCGAGTTCATAAGCGGTGCAAGAACAGGTGCAAGCGTGTATTGGTTTGTTCTCATGAATGCCTGTCATCATGCACAGGATTCTGCCCGCCATGTAGGATGTCATGTGAAAACCGTTGTACGCATTCGAATTGCAAACGCTCCTGTGGGAAGGCGTGCGAGCCTTGCGCAGAAAAGTGCAACTGGGAATGCTTCCATTTCAGATGTAGCAAATTGTGTGGTGAGTTATGTGATCGCCCAAGATGTGACCAGCCCTGTAAAAAGTTCCTCCGTTGCGGAAGTGAGCGTCGTCCCCATCGCTGCCGTGGTTTGTGTGGAGAGAAATGCATTTGTGTGGTGTGCACGAATAACGATGGCGACCCAATTACCAAAACATTTTTGGGCGGAGAAGACGAAAAAGATGCACGTTTTATTCAGCTTCCGGACTGCAAACACATCTTCGCAGTAAAAGATCTTGATTAGTAAGTATGGTGTATTATATTCAATTTTTTTCTTTCATCTATCGCAATAGTTATTCGTTGACCCCATTCTGTGGAATTATTTGGTAACTAAGTGCCGCCGCTAAGGGGCAGGGGATCGTGGAATTTTGATGGGGGTGTGAATTATATACTGCTTTTAGCAGTCTTCATTAGCAGTCTTCATTTTTCATAGCTACATGGGTACATCCCATCTCAACGAAGAGAACTGTGACGTGATTCAACTGAAAACTTGTCCTCGATGTAAGAAGGGGATCCGTACGAGCCTGCGATATGGTAATATTATTAAACAGCAGTTGCTTGACATTGAGAAAGTGAAGGCCAAGGTCAACGGGAATCCGGTTGACATCCAGGCTGCAAAGAAAGATTTGGAAATACGTTTGAGAGTTTTAAAGCCAATGCTTGAGGTGGAGGAGGACAAGAGAGACTTGTACACTCTACAGCGTCGTGTGACTAAAATGTCGAACATGTTTATAGCAGCTATTACCACAAACCAGGTGATGCTGATGAGGCGATTTGCCGAGATAAAACAGAAGCTGAAGGACAATCAGTTTAATAAGACCCAGAGCCAAGTCAGCAATGAAAGTCGTGTGGAAGGTACGAGCGCAATTTTCTTTAGTTTCTCCTTTAACGTGTTGAATGAAATTATCGTCAATAGAGACTAAGATAAAAGCCTCTGTTTGAGGAAAATGAAACCCTTTGTGGTTTATTGTAACAGTTCCATTACCGTCTTAGGTAACCCTCCACTGACATTTCTCCCTCCTCCTTCCCCTACTACTGCCGATAACTTGTCCTTTCGCCCAAGGCATAGGTGTCGCGTAGGCAGTTGTCTGAGTACATGGTATGCTAATTTCTAATATAGAAAGGTCATTACTTAACGCCGGGGAGGGGAGGTGGGGGCGGTGGAGGACTTTGATTGTACCACGACAAAATCTACGTGATCCCCTAAGGCTCTGTGATATTCTAATGACTCCCCCTTCTCATTGGCTGTTAATTGGTAGTCAATTTTCTATAGTCCCTCGTTTATTTTCTGTTAACGACAACCCCTCCCCCTCCAAAAATCCTTTACCATGCCGATAAATAATGACTGGTCGTCTAAGGAGTTGTGATCACGTGAGCCTGAAAGCATTTCTCATTATTATTATTCGCTTCCTTTAGAGTATCTCTACTTTCTTTGTTGTCATTTGGTAGAGGTTTCATTGCAAGAGGATTTGAAGTATTTGAAGAAGCGTGCGATTTCAGAAGAAGTCACAGAGCGAGAATTAAAAGACATAAACCTGGAATGTACCAGGGTCAATCTGCGATCTGAGCTGTATCTGCTGAAAGACAGCCTCACAAGCTTCAATTTGACTCTAGAGGAATCGCATGGTCAGGTGTTGAAAAATGTTTGCGATGAGTTGTCCACTGGTAAAATAATACAAGTCCAGAGGTTGGACGAGCTGTTAGATATGCTGTCTGAAATCAGGTGGATTACTCTTTTTTATTTGTTTGTTAAGACATCTTAAAAAATTACTTTATGACCCGTACGGCCGCGTGTACACTTTTATTGGAAAATATTAGACAAGAATCCCTGTTTTAGGGCCTTAAGTGATGGCGCAAGCGCGGCCAGAGAAAGCCATGCGGCACCGCGAGATACGAGCTGAAAGAGGAAAGAAGAAAAGTGAAAGAGCGGCGGTCATTAGATAAAATGCTTATTGGCTGGTTTAGGTCGGGCGGGACGGGAAAATATTTGACTCTTTGTCACGACGCAAGGACCGCGCTGCTCTCAGTCCGTAAATCATGACATGCTCCTATACCCGTCTGGTGTTCCCAGTCAGTCAGTAGTCACATATCACGTGCCTTTTGACTTTTACGAGCTCGAGGAGGGTGAGAAAACCATAACAAGCTGTCTCCCTACCCACTACACCTCGTGTTCTCAAGAAAAAAACTTTTCACACCACTAAAATAACAGAAAGTAAGAGCTGAGTCATGACCGGTTGCTTTTGGCGTAAATATGTTCTTAAATCTCTCTGTTATTCCTACTTTTGGTTACCGAATTTGTGAACAACGAGGCCCAAATTAAATTAAGTTGCTACGCAAGTGATCTGTTTGGTCTGTCCTTTTTGAAGGAAACTCAAGCAATATGTGTCATTTTAGGGTTTTATAATGAAACAATTACGAGGGTGACGATTATGAAGATTGTACTGCTTAAATTTTAGAAAAGCGTACCCACGTCTGTTACCGTTGACGCCAGAAGAAAAACAACAGATTGTGACTGCAATGGGCCTCAAACAAGGTCATTGGTACAAATGCCCCAAGGGACATATTTACGCCATTACCGAGTGTGGCCGCGCTATGGAGAAAAGCACGTGTCCTGATTGTGGAGCTGTGATTGGTGGAGAAAGTCACAGACTGGTAGAGGACAATGAAGTGGCGACTGAGATGGTTGGTGCGAGGTACCCGGCTTGGTCTGAACAGGCGAACATGGAAAATTACATGATCGACGAGGCGTAGAAAGGTTTATAGCTGCTTTCAAAACCTAACAGGCAACTTGATTGATTATAAATTCAGAAGACTACTTGGACAGTGAAACTTAAGGGGCAAGGCGTGTGTTTTGCTGCCTCACGTTTCGCAGGCGTTTCGCAGGCGTAGCGAAGGCCCAAGTGTTAAAAAAAAAGTTAATACAGGTTTGCAACAAATAGGGTGATTTTAGTACTCAAGGGTAATTGGTTTGACTTGGAACGTACTCAGACGATTTTTCAAACCGAGGTCTGATAAAAGTGTATTCTTTTTAGGCGTGCGCGATAGGAACAATTCTGCCCAGCCGCGTGCCAATTTCCCGCGCAAAACATCTTAGGATACACATAAGAAACAACCACTGTCTCGCAAGATAAACGAAAGAAAGAAATATGGAAAAGGAAACAAAAGTAGAGAAGAGGAAAACTCAAGACTCAAGATTCTGTTTTGAGCTTTACCAAAAATGACTCACTAGCTTGTGTGGCTGTTTGTAACTCGTGTGAAACAACTTGGTTCTGAAGCCTGAAAACAAGCCACCTAGCCATTAAAATGTTCGCTCATGCGCAGACGTTTGACGGCTGCGTTGGTATTACGCGACGTCTAATTCAGGTCTTTTGCATTGAAACAAATAGGAAATAATTACACTGATCGCACATAACTTTCATTGGGAGTGTCGTTAATCGTTGATTATTAATCTTAATTTCTATACCGCTTTCTTTGAGCCAGATCACTTCAAACCTAACCGAAACTCGAATCAACTAAGACAAGAGATAATAATCTCTTGGCTAAGAGGATCTCAAGATAAACATCAGGGCAGTGGCCAAGCTCATGTACCGTTAACAGGAAAGATTGAATCATTTGATAGCTTTTCTACAATGAAACATACATTCTTTTGTTTTCCCCTGACAAATCATCGAGAGGTTTCTGCTTTCAGTTTACCATATACGCTTTCAAAGAATATTTTAAGAAAATCCCTCTGATTATTGGAAGAAAAGATTATTCCTGGCTTTATTTCCTCCAAAAAATCGGATATTAGATGCTAGTGTCCTATTTTAGATATTGGAACAACAACAACAAACAACAACTTAATTTTTTTCACCCCAAAATATACAAGAAAGAAAAATTTATAATAATAGTACAGACAATGATAGGAGCGCTGGCTGCCCTAAATAACCTAAGAGTTAAAAATGACAGGCAGCCACTTAAAAGAAAAGATGTTTAAATGCTTAAGTCAGGGAGACAAAAACATCTTGTCCGCTAACCGCGGACCATCTATTGGTGTTCCAGTTTGGACACTGCTGCCCGATTTTGGAGAACTGTTGTCCAAAATTTAGACACTAGTGTCTGATTTTAGACAGTAGTGTCCTGTTTGAGACACTAGTATCCAATTTTAGACACTAGTGTCCGACATTAGACACTACTGTCTGAATTTAGACGCTGGCGGCCGATGTTAGCCACTAATACATCCTAAGAAGAAACCCCCAGAAGGTCTTAGCAGCGTTAGTCACGTTCGATTCTGTTGCGTGACTGCTGTAATCAATCACTAATGTCTTAGAATCAGAACATTTTGAGGAGCAGCATTAGCCGGTGGCGAACAAGCGGTACTTGTTTTTCCCCTTTCTTTTTTTCACCCTTTTGTTCTTGTAAGAAGTGATCATGATTAATTCTAAGGAGAACAGGTGAGAAAAAATTGAGTTTAACCATGCATATCAGCAGGGTAGGTCATTCTGTAAAAAAAAAAACAAGACTGATGCTTTAGAGGCTTATGAAAGGGTCTCGCCATGTCCTTCCACGAGCGATCGATCATTTTTTATTATTATATACAAACGTTTCTTTCGACATATTGTCCTCAAGAAACTACTTACGAGCAAACTGATTCCTTTCCACACATATATCCTCAGACTATTGGTTCTGACTGACTCCCAGATCATGCCACTGAAATTCGATTCGTTTGCGAAATCAACTTTGAACATTCAACCAATCACGAGGAAGGTGCTTTTCTTGGAATTGTTGATATGAAGCTTCGGGGAAGGTTCCGCGAAAAGTGAACGACAGATTCTGTTTTATTTTCCTTGTCTTTTGCGGATGAAGTTCTCCCTTACAGTTCCAAGAGAGGTTCAGGTATGTAGAAATTTTTGATATGTTATGTGGAGAATTGATTACTGTGCACTGTCAAAAGCAACTGACGCAGAACGGCCTTAAGTTACATAAATAGCCGTTTAAAACGTAGGAACATAGTACTGACCGATGTTGGGGTAGATTCTTTTAGTTTTGGTTGTATTTACCGTCATGTAGGCTAGAATTTTATTGCAAAGAATTGTTCTTAAGAGAATAAGAACTTGACTACTCAGAACAGTTTTTTGTACCTGTTATCATCCTACATAACCTATGTGATGTATGTTAGACTGTCAGATAGTTATATCACTGGAGTTCAAATTGGAACAATTACCTGTAATTATGGAGAAAAAAAAATTTTTATTTGCTTATTAGTGCTTTAAATTACAACAGAAATGTAATATATCTTAAAGAGACAATGTGGAATCTATTTAGTAGGTGCCGGTGGAATTTCCTTTTAACAAAATTTAATTTTTATGCCTTTGTTATATGTAAATTTTGGTGAACTCGCTTCTTAACTAAGTTGTTACATTATATGGTCAATTTATCATTTTTTTTAAACGAAGTTTGTTTAGTTGATTTCATTTAATCCACCTAGTCTTGCGTAAGATATTCGTGAGACTTACGCAGTTGTAAAGTTATTTCTTGGTCACATGAATATAATACGATTATCTTGCGTGACGTAAGAATTATCCCACGCGTTCGACCAATCACGAAGAGGATGCTTTTCTCGGAATCGGAGATACGTTTCACAGCGTTTCGCAGAATATAATTCTCCGAAAGATGGTTGCGCTCAAGAGACGTTTACGTCTTTTTCGCCTTATGTTTCTCTCGTGATAGGTGGTGAGCCGAATCTGATATAAGTGAGACTTGGGTATGTATGAATAATAAGTATTACTAAATATTGCAGAATGTAGTGCCAACCCTTAAACGACTGATGCTAAAGGCCTTTAAGAATCCCGAAAATTAGAGTAGATACAAATATATGGACTTTTGTACGTGGTAAAACACTGATTCTTGTCATTGGAATGAATTTCCACAACTCTAGTTCAAGTTAGATTCTAATAAGGAAGTACGTTAACTTCTTAAAAGAAATGAACGTTCCCAAGGAAGCTCTTGAACCACACATTTCCATCCTGAATAATTAGATTCCGAAGTTACTTATTAGATTTAAGTCGTAATACCTACCTTAATCGAAAGATCCTCGACGCTAAAGAAAACAGTACTTCTAAACTTGGAGACTTAAAAATATTTCACTGAGATTATTAAAATCAAAGTGCCAACAACGGGTTGAGAATAATACAAGCGACTTAAGGAATGCGGAAAACTGACAGAGTATCATGTTTACAACCGATCGACGATCGATTCAATCCGGACAACTGAGGGCCTGATTACATGAGCCGAGCTGGCCCGGTTAGCCGGGCTGATTTCTTTTGTTTTCACACTTTGGCGAACACCAAAACAAAAGAAATCAGCCCGGCTAAACTGGCTAGCCCGGCTCATGTAATCAGGCCCTGACAGTAATTTTTGCTACCAAACGAATTAGTTCAAACAACGGACTGAGTATTGTGATTGCAACCGACCGAATGAATGAGTAGAACCCTACGAGTGATGTATGCAACCGAGTGAATGTAAAATGCGTACGAACTAATTTTTGCAACTGACCGAAAACGGTGCACACATCTAACAGCGATGTTTCTAGGTGACCGTAGAAGTCCGTTCAACAAGCCAAATGTTTGCTACTAAACGAGTACGGGCACACAATTTGCGGAGTTCTGTTTACATTTGACAGAAACTGACGTATCAATGTCTACAACAGACCGAGGACAACCAAACAACTGACCGAATAATGTACACAAAAGATCACAAAAGTATGAGAAAAGAATACTTGTTTAGTATCTCTTTAAAACTCAAAACGCTGTTAAACAAAGATTTTTTCGCAACGAAAGATTTGAAATGAACGGTGCGCCATATACTCTGCGCACTTAAAGTGCCAATGACATGATTTTTTTTTCTCGGTTTTTCTTAGCTTGATGCATATAAAAAACAATTCTAACCTTCAATCCAGCGGAAACGTTTTCAAAACTGAATTTTTGCGCTCTAAAAAGTACTATTTTGTAGTAAAAATTGTCTCGGGGTCCGCTGAGACCTAGTTCACGGCCTTCGTGACGTAATTTTGTATACACAAAACACCAAGTTGCGGAACGTGTGGAGGTGAGAGGCGAGTCATTCATTCATTTGAACGAGTGTCACTCTGCTGATTCTATAGATTAAAGAATCACTCTTTTTGCCGCACTGTCATCCATGTTGGTTTCAATAGTTGTACACAACCTGACGTCACGAAAGAAAATCACGTGACGTTTTGGCCGCGCGGAAGAGGGGACAATTTCGTTCGCAGATAGCGGGTGTTTTGAACTAAAAAAAGGGGTTTGAAGACATTTCCGCCCGGATTAAAGGTTAAATTTGTTTTTTATATGCATCAAGCTAAGAAAAACCGAGAAAAAAATTCATGTCATAGGAAATTTAATGCATATTGAAAACCATAATATACATACATGAAAAAATAACGCGTGTCTGATTGGCTTAAAACAAGTGCATTTTCCATGTAATACGAGTGAAAAACTGTTCAAAAGTGCAAATCACGAATAGCGCGCTCGCTCGCATTCTTTTTGATATGTAGAATACAACCTTCTCTGAGAAAACATTCGGAACATAAACAATATTTCAAGAGTCAAAACTGGAAAGTCGCTCACTTTCTTCGAAACTCTTTTTAAATGGATCGAAACACATCTTTCAAACTGTATAGAAACTCATGTAAATATATTTTTTTCCCAACCCATGTAAATATTTTTTTGCCCCATTGTAATTTAGTATTGTATATTTGCTATCATTGTATATTCCGACAGAATAGCCTCGTATAGGGGAGCCGTAATGATAAAGTGCATTGTGTAATGTATTGTGCTAGACTAGATCCTTGGTAAAAGTAGACTGTCCTCTTCCTAAATAACATAGCCGTAAGGCGTTTTTGACAAATGGTCCTTGATAACACATCGAAGTAAATCTCGCTATAAACCTTTCCTTAACATGTCATAAGCAAGAAAGGAAAGCCTTTAAACAGGTCTATCTAAGAAATACCAAGCCATTCGGTGATAGATATGAGCAAATCATGTATTGAACTCTAAAGTGTGATCTTCTTAGCTTGTAAAGATACAGTTTTCTGCAGAAACGATTTTCTGATATCTGGAGAGATCTCTTAATCCTACAAATTTAGGTAAATCATACGTGCTTTTAGACTACTTTTTTTTTTACCTTCAAAAGCACAAGCACTGATGCAAATGTTACTGATCAACGTTGGTTGGTCAGTAAGAGTTCTAAAAGGTTTTTCATTATTTACTTCAGCTTGAAAAGCTCCAAACACAAATAAAAACTTACCTACTAGCCGGCCGAGTGAACGACCAACCGACTTTAATGTTGTAGAGCGTTTTCAAGGCTCGATATTTCAAGCATTTTTAGGTTTAGCTTTTGTTTTATTAAGTCTCGCCTTTTCGCCCCTACGTGCTATTTTGATGAATCTATAGTTTTGATGATTTATTTTTAGTGTGTGCTTGAACTTGGCTCAGCACTTACCGTGCTAGACATTTTAATCCCTTGTTATGGTTGAAGATAACTAGTTTGTTAGGTGGTCATGTTTGAGTTGGTAAAACTGACCTTGAGTTTTACCCACACTGAACATCCTGTTTTGGAAGTTCCCACGGTTAGCTAACCCAAACATGTCTGTGATTTTTGTATTTAATACTGGAGCACTCCTTGCTGAAAGTAGTAGAAATAAGTAGTAGAAATAAGTAGTAGAAATAAGCAGTGGAACAAGAGAGAGAATAAAGAAGAAAATTACAGAGTCTCAGTACTTCTTGTTAATTTGCCAAGCGAGTGGTAAAACCCCTCAACATTAATTTTAAGTCCAAAAAGTCAGTAAGAGTTCTAAAAGGTTTTTCATTATTTACTTCAGCTTGAAAAGCTCCAAACACGACTAAAAACTTACCTACTTTCAGTACTAATGTATTTGCTTCTATACTTTATTGAACAACTATTGATGTATTTGCCAGCTATGCTTCTTTTTATAATTTAACAATATCTAATTATTTAGTTTTTAATTTTCTTTATATATTGTAAATAATGTTTGTTGATGATTGACCCGCCTCGAATAGCAAATTTGCTATCTGCGGGTCAACATAATCTAAATTATTTTGTAAGAAAAAGAAAAAAGAAAAGTGTGAAAAAAAAAAAAAAAAAAAGAAAAAGTGTGAATAAAGGAAACTACTAGCCGGCCGAGTGAACGACCGACCGACTTTAATTTTAAGTCCAAAACTGACCAATCAGTCTTCACGAACCAGACTCCAAACATTCGAGTGAGAGGTAGGTCTTCACTCGACTCTGATAATGGCTTCTGCTGAGGTTTTCGAAACAGTAGTAATTGTGAGCAACAACAGTCTTTCCCAAGACTACTCTCCACAGGACGATCATACTACACGGTCGAGATTATTCACTTACTCACTAACTTTTGCCACGAGAATTATTAATTACTCCCTCTTTCTTTCTTTTCTTTCTTTCATTTTTTCGAAGCTAGGGAAGTAGTCCTCAGTGATCTTATATTTGTCAAACACTCGATGGTACTGTTCCCCTGACGTCTAGATGGAATAGAAATGAAGAGAACTGTTACAGGGGTAAGAAATCCACGCGTCTCTTTCAATGGACAGCGAATGGAAAGAAATGGCAGCAGAACACGTCATTTACATGAGTTTTCCCGGGAAAGAAGACCCGCAATGGATGGAAATGGGACAGGAAGACATGCACAACGAGAAAGAGGTCCTAATCCCCTCAACTATAAGGCCTTAGAAAAAGTGTGTAATTCAAACTCGACTGATGAGGGAATTTTAGAGCTTTTCAACAAAGCTAAACGGTTTGAAGATCTACTGGAGACATACGCAATACGACCCGATCTGATGAAGCTTGTTATTCGAGCTATTCATATGTGCTGTTCACCAAATGATAAAAAAGAGATTGCTAATAAACTGCTCCGCACAGTGATTAAAACAAATTTTTTACAGTTGCATCTTACCAAGTTTATCAGCCAAATGTCTGATGTCTCAGCGTTCGGTGATAATTACCAGCCTGATGAACTGGTCTTGCTGTTAGCAGAGGTTTTCCTGGAGTTGTTGCAGAGATTTGAACAGGACGTAATTCACTTCATTCCCAATGCCCAACTGAGTGAGACAGTCGGAGATCTGAAGAGTAGAGGACTTCTACAAGACGCAGAGATGTTGGAGAAGAAACTTCAACAAGTCAAGGAGTACAAAAATGACACAAATCGCCGGAAAAAAACTCACCCAGACCAATCTCAGCTAACTCCACCCGAGGATTTTCGCCAGATAAGCGTGATTCCCCAAGCCGCAGATTTAAGACCTTACAGTAAGCCGTTTCTTCGTGAAAACGTTGTAGGTGGAAAGTACTTAAACCAGGAGCATTATTTAGACGTGCAGTTTCGACTTTTAAGAGAAGACTTCATCTTACCTTTACGCAATGGGATAGAACAACTTCAAAAGTCCCACAGTCCGGGAGCAAGTAACGTAAGCCACAGCAAACGTGTACGAAGCGTTCGCGTGTACCATGACGTTACAATAATGTATCCCGTATGCAGCGGAAAAGGTATGGTTTACAGAATCCGGTTCAACTCGTTCCACCCGGATGTAGTTCGCGTGAGATGGGAGAAGAGCAAACTTTTCAAACTGGGCTCTCTCCTTTGTCTTTCATCAGATGAATTTCGCAGTCTTTTATTTGCGACTGTGGAGAATCGAGATTCACGCGACCTTTGTGTTGGCGAGCTTGAAGTACGATTTGAAGACGTCCAGTTCGAAAACCTGAACCGGTTTATTGAGGAAAAAGAGAAGTTTGATATGGTAGAATCCCCGGCGTTCTTTCAAGCCTACAGACATGTTTTGGAAGGTTTACAAGAAATTGAGCCAGGTGGACTTCCCTTTGAAGAACACATTGTACAATGCAACCAAGATGTGGAGCCACCTGAGTATGAAAGCAAAACCAATGGTTTTTTCGACATGAGTGGAATGATAGGAGAAGAAGTGGACTCAACAGCTTCCCAACCAAGTGCTGGTGATGATAGTAGTGAAGATGTCGTGAATATTTACGACTTGGAACTCAATCCAGAAGACCTGGGCTTCAATAAGTCACAGATGAGTGCATTCAAAATGGCACTGACCAAAAAGTTCGCCGTCATTCAAGGACCGCCAGGTACCGGGAAGACGTACGTTGGTCGTAAGATAGCGCGTGTTCTGCTACAGAGCGCCCCTTTGTGGCAGAACGATAGTGAACCGTCACCAATTTTGATGGTGTCGTACACGAACCACGCCTTAGACGATTTCTTGGCTGAACTACCGATGAAAGGTAAGGCTTCAAAAAAGGGGTTGTTATCTTAACTATGTGAACAGTCTTGTGACTTAAAGTCGCTGACAAAGTGCCAAGGACTGAAATTGAGCTTTCGCGAAACGTTACGATGGTTGATTTCACAGTAAAAGGGTAATTTACAATTGAAAGAGGAAAGTTGTCCAGAATTGCGTTACTTTTTCCCTGAAACACTTTATGATTGGTCGAGAAAGCTCAGGCTACCCTTTCAACCATCAGATGCACATTTTAACCAGTTGCAATTGCCTACTTTGAGTTACCAGCAGCTCCTTCTAAAATTTCCTTTGTTCTGATTGGACGTTATGCTACCTCATTCAACCAGGTGACTTACGTATCCGTCGACGCATTCCAATGGGGTAATCAGTACTAGTCACTCTTACCCCTCGCCTTCGTGCGTTTTGATTAATGTATAGCGTTTGTTTTTACTATTGGGTGTTTTTTTTTACCCACTTAATGAAGTCTGCTTTAAGAATAAGATACAAGCATTCTCTTTTAAGAACTTTTTGTGTGTACATAAAGGCATGTAATAAACGCACGTGCCTATATCATAGTAATTCCATTTTCTTTGTCTGAATGTCTTGTCATTACTAGGTGTTGTGCGCGTTGGGGGAAAGTGCAGTGAAAAGTTGGAGAGCTGCTCGCTGAAGGCTCGGCGGAATGAAGCTGCTGACAACAAGCAAACTCCATTTCCAATCTACAGTGCAAGAAAACGTGCCCAAGAAGAGATCAAAGAGCTAAACGACGAAGGATCCCTTGATCTTTGTATTGCTGTCCTGAAATGCTCCAGACGAGGAATTCTCGCCTTTGACATTCTGAAGAAATTCATGATGTTTCGTCATGTCAAATGGTTTCACAAACATCGAACCGATAACGATTGTTTGTTGTGTGAATGGTTAGGGCTACAATACAATCGTGAGCGAAACAATACCAAGAACAATGATTATGATGTAAAAATGGAGAGGGTTTTTCAGGCGCAGGAGTCAGCTCGAAACTTCGAAGACAACGAGGAGGAAAGAGAAATTCAACCTTCAAAGGTAGCTATTAGTACAATTGAAGACATAGAAAAACCGATTTGGCTTCGCGGCCATCTTCTTCGAGAGGAAGTCATTAGTGAGGAGAAAAGTAATATTTACAACTTGTCGAGATTGCCGCCATTTGAACGATGGAATCTGTACAGGTTGTGGCTTCAGAGAGCAGAGAAATACTTCATGAGGAAACTTCAGAGCAAACAGCCTGATTACGAAAGAGCATTGGCGCGTAAGTTTGAAGTGATGCTCGAAGAAGACTTTCATGTTCTTCAAAGTGCGAAGATCATTGCAATGACCACCACTTGTGCCGCAAAATACCGCCGCACGCTCCAGCGGATTCGCCCCAAAATTGTAATTGTCGAAGAAGCCGCTGAAGTACTGGAAGCGCACATAATCACTTCACTGACCAAGGATTGCCAACACTTGATTTTGATTGGTGATCACAAGCAACTCAGACCTAAACCGGAAGTCTATGTCTTAGCCAAGAAGTACCATCTGGATGTGTCCCTGTTTGAGCGAATGGTGAATGTCGGACTTCAGTGCGAGACCCTCAACGTCCAGCATCGCATGAGACCTGAAATTTCCGCCTTGATGAAGCACATTTATGACGATCTTGAGAATCACAAGACGGTTGAGAGATATGGAAATATTAAAGGATTAAAGAAGAACATGTTCTTTATCAACCACAGTCATTTGGAGAATCCTTGTGAAGATACGTACAGCCACGTGAATGATCACGAGGCTAACTTTCTGGTGGCCTTGTGTCGGTATCTATTACAACAAGGTTACAAATCCCACCAAATTACCCTTTTGACAACTTACACGGGGCAAATGTTTGCCATCAGAGACTGTGTCCAAGCGAAACAAAGGGACGACCTCAGCCAAGTGCGTCTAACGACAGTCGACAACTTTCAAGGCGAAGAAAACGACATAATTCTTCTCTCGCTCGTGCGCAGTAACAAAGAAGACGGGGCTGGGTTCATCAAAATGGAAAACCGCGCATGCGTGGCGCTTTCTCGTGCCAGAAAGGGCTTCTACTGCATTGGAAACTTCGCGCTTCTCTGCAAACACAGTGAAATCTGGAGAAAAATTGTCGACGACCTAAAAGCAAGTAGAAGCTTTGGAGCGTCTCTAATCCTCATCTGTCAAAGCCACAAAGAAGAGATCACAGCAGAAACAGCCGAAGACTTTGAGGGAAAAGCTCCCGAAGGGGGATGTCAGAGTCCCTGTGAAGTGCGCCTGAAATGCGGACATGGTTGCAAACGGTCATGTCACCCAAATGATGTCGATCACTTGGAATATCAGTGTGGAGAGCCGTGCGTCAAGAAAATCGTTGGCTGTGACCACACGTGTTCAAAGCTTTGCTGGCAAAAATGTGATACATACTGTCGAGTGGTGGTTGAGAAGGCTCTGCCATCATGCGGGCATATGACAGCCGTGAAATGCGGCGACGATTTGAAGAAGGTCCAGTGCCAAATACGGTGTGATAAAAAGCTATCCTGTTCCCACCGTTGTCAGAGCAACTGCAGCCAACCTTGCACAAAAAAATGCCAAGAGCTTGTCGAGAGAAAAGATTGGCCTTGTAGTCATGAAGTTAAGGTTGCTTGCTCAGCAACTCCGTCAGATTGCCCAGCCCTTTGTGGGTCCACTTTAGAATGTGGCCACCAGTGCCCTGGGAAGTGTGGCGCATGTCGCATGGGTCGAGTTCATGTCCGATGCAAGCTGAAGTGTAGCCGTGTATTAGTCTGCTCTCATGTCTGCGTGGCGGGTTGCACAAAATCTTGCCCGCCATGCACACTTACTTGCCAAAACCGTTGCAAACATTCAAAATGTGATCTCCAGTGTGGGGTGGCTTGCAAGTCTTGCGCTGAAAAGTGCAACTGGAAATGCCCTCATTTTGAGTGTAGCAAACCGTGTGGCAAATTGTGCAATCGCCCAAGATGTGATAGGCCCTGTAAGAAGTTCCTCAAATGTGCACGTGGAAAGAAACGCCGTCCACATCGCTGTCGAGGTTTGTGTGGAGAACAGTGCATTTGTGCCGTGTGCATGAATAACGATGGTGACCCAATCACGCAACTATTTTTTGGTGGAGAAGACGAAGTTGGTGCACGTTTTATTCAGCTTCCGGACTGCAAACACATTTTCGCTGTAAAGGATCTTGATTAGTAAGTATGAAGAATTTGCTCGCGTTTTGCCGAAAATGCTGCATTATGATTTGGTAAGCCTCAATAAGCTTTGAACTCACTGTAAGATGTTGTTTTGGAACAAACCGCTGCTATTCTCGTCAATACTGCTAAATTCTGAGCCCTGGACCTATCATTGCATTAGACTGATGATTAGCAGGCTATAGTTCGGTGGCTCCCATTCAGTCTTTCAAAGACAATGAAATAAGGTTCATGGTTTGGGTGGAAGAAAACGTAAAGTAGGACAGCACAGGAATTATTAAACGCCCTTATGAAAGTGAGCTATTTAATCTTCCTTAGCGCCAAAACAAGTTTTGGCGCTAAGGATGATATATTTACCATTTATTTCGCCAAAACTATATCCTGGTTTTGGATCAGAATTTTCTCCTTGGATACAAAAGTTGTATAGACTGGTTGGTTGAGTAAAAGGTCAATTGAGTGGATCAAATAAACGTAGCAGTTACGAGTTGTTACCTCATTGCGAAATAGCATCAGTAACTATCAGCTCAGATGTCAGTAAATAGATGAGAACATCAAAGTCATGTTTTTTGCTGAATTTGTTTATCTGAGATAAATGATTCCGCACGAGAAAAGCTTTAACTTTAAAGTTTAATAATAGGAGTATTTTTTAAATCGTATTTTTTAGCTACATGGACATGCCCAATAACGGCGAAGATAACCGTCACGTGATTCAACTGAAAACTTGTCCTCGTTGCAAGACTGTGATCAGAAGGAGCCTGCGATACGGTAATGTTATTAAACAGCAGCTGCTCGACATTGAGAAAGTGAAGGCCAAGGTCAACGGAAATCAAGTTGAGATCGAAACGACGAGAAGAGATTTAGGAGAACGTTTGGAAAATTTACTGGCAAGCTTTGCGACTGAGGTGGCGGAGAAGGAGTGGAACGCATTGATGAAACGTGTCAACAAGATATCCAACTCTTTAGTGGCAGCTGTTGTCACAAATCAGGTGATGCTGATGGAGCGATTTCTCGAGATAAACCGGAAGCTCAAAGCAAGACGTCTTCACAACAAAATTCAATCGGAAGGTATGTTTGCAGCTATCTTTTTCGTTTGGGGCGTTAGTCTCCTTGTATTTAAAAGAATCCCGGGAGATGGGCCTCTTTTGTGAGAGGGAGGGGAGTATGAATGATTGAAGCTATGCACTCTGACACGAGGGGCTGTCACGCAGAACGTCAGCTTGAGCATCTATCAAGATGGCCAATTTAAATAGTCAATTCAGCTGATAAAACCAATTATAACCCACCCATTAATTTTGGCGCGATTTTATTGGTTACTTTACGTCAGGTGGTGCAAAATCACAGGACAGTTATCACGCAATAACCCCGTCAGCGTCGATATTTGTCGTCCGATTTTTCCGTGAAAAAAAACATAGTCAACACAAGAGTTTCAACTTTTCCGTTCTCCTATTTACATGGAAGGAAACCAAACTCGATGTTTTTTTTTTGCTTGCTTGCGTCAATCACGCGCATTCGCCATCAGATCACCACTGGCTTTGTTACTGTGTTTACGCGCAGTTTAATTTCGACGTGAAAATTAATGGGAGGGTTATAAAATAAATAAACCCCGTTCTGGCTTGCTGGTATGTCGGCTGATAATGTCCTTGGCTGAGAGATTGTCCTCAAAATTTCATATTTGCCCTCGAAGCTTCACTTCTCGGCCAAATATTCATTTTTCGGACAATCTCTCGGCCGCGGACATTATCAGCCGACATTCCAGCCGCTCGAAGGGGTTTATTTGCTAAATATCTCGCACTATCCCCTTCCGTTCTCCAACCATCGTAGCGTCACAGTTTCTCTTAAAACGTAACCCCTAATTCTTAACTTGGCTATGAAAGCTTTCCTTCTTTCCTTCCCTCCCTTACTGATCATACATCGCTGACTGTAACACCTCTCAAGTAAAGATGACGGTTTTGAACTTTAGGCTTGAGTCAGTAATAAGATGTCCAAAAATGAAACTTAGGTTGATAATGGGACTGGGGGGGGTTGCTTTTGACGGCTGAGGGTTTGACTCTGTTTACCGATTATCCTGCTTTGATTAAAGACTACTATGACAGATCATGACAGTCTACCCCTTTTTGTAATATATTGGTTAGGTTTGACTTTTCAAGAGGAGTTGGAATACTTAAAAAAACGTGCAATGTCCGAAACAGTCACAGAGAGAGAGCTGTACGACATAAACGTCGAATGTACAAGGATTAATCTGCGATTCGAGCTGTGTCTTCTGAAACACAGCATTACAAAACTCAACTTGACGCTGATGGAATCGCATGGTAGCCTTTTGAAAGATGTGCAAGATGAGCTGTCCAGCGGTAAACTTATACAAACCCAGAGGCTTGACGAACTACTAGAAATGTTGTCCGGAATCAGGTGAGTTATCTAATGATAATTTTCGTTTTTAAAGCAACCATAGCAGACATAACGTGACTCCTTCTCCCCACCCACTCACCCAGGAGTATTAAAAGACATCGACAAACTATCAGGGAAGCCTGACGAAATGGCTGAGGTAACTGTAATGAAGTGGCATTCAAACGAATGGGAGGAGTAGAAATTTTTCTATTTTCTTCTGAAGACAGCTTTAGGCCACTTCTACACCAGATACTAACGAAAGCAAGCATCTCTGATTTCGTTTCTATTTAATTGGCTACTAGAGAAAAATTGAGTAGATATTTTATTTTTGCACTAAATGCAAAGTTTTTCAAATCTTTTGGAAAAACATGCGAAAAGTCATATGCCTTTTCCCGTTTTCGCACTTTTTTTTATAAATCCCTCAATTGTTCTGGCTATCTTCTCATTTGGTTAAGTCACCTGTAGGCAGCGTAATCCCGAGTTGTTACTAAGGTGATGCCGTGAGGTGCGATTTGTTTCGACTGCCTTTGGTGCAAGAAACTCAGTCTTGAAATCTGTGACTTGCAAGGTACAGCAAAGTCGTAAAAACTAAAAAATAACGACAGTGATGACAAAGATGGTGAAAATAAATCAATGTCCTCTTTCTTCATTACAGAAAAGCGTTCCCATGACTTTCGCCATTAACGCCAGAAGAGAGACAAGAGATTGTGTCTGCCATGGGCTTTAAACAAGGTCATTGGTTCAAATGTCCAAACGGACATCCCTACACCATAGGGGAGTGTGGTGGCGCCATGGAGAAAAGCACGTGCAATGAATGCGGAGCTGTGATTGGTGGAGCACAACACAGACTTGAAGACGGAAATCAAGTAGCTACTGAGATGGATGGTGCAAGACACCCGGCCTGGTCTGAACAGGCGAACATGGACAATTATATGATGGTGGATGAGGCGTAGAAAGGTTTAAACTGAGTTTTAAACATAATTAATTATACCTTCAGTAGACTCTTTTGGCAGTGTAACATGAGAGGCTAAACTAAACCAACCATAATTTGTTGCTTTACGTCTCGCGTGCGTAGCGTAGGGCAAACGTTAAAAATACGATATAGGTTTGCAACAATTAGTTTGATTTCAAAGCTCGTGGGTACCTAATTTGACTAGGAACGTACTAAGACGTTTTTTTCAAAGCGAGTAGTCGTGTATTATTTTTGGTGGTCTAACATTAAGTGTTACATTTTTTCCCTGTGCACATAAAAGCACAGTGCAGGCTGTAGCTGAATCAAAACGAACGCCACAAAACGCACAAGCAGAAAGCGAGTGGTGTGTTCTTACGAATGACGAGCACAGCGGTTAAACGTCGAGCATGCGCAAGGGGATCAATTCTGGCTAGCCGCTCGCCAATTTCCCGCGCAAATTTCAAAGAATAAACATAAGAAAAAACCGCTGTCTCGCAAAATAAGTGAAAGAAAATTGGAATGTTCATTGAAATCTACAACAACAACAACAACAACAATAAATTTAATTATTCAACCACGTTATCGTCTAAGAGCACAAGCGCTTGTTCAAAATACGAACGTGCCAAAACGAACGCGTAAAAAAAGATTTAAATATATAATCTATAATCTAAACAGACTAGGAGAAGTCGTGGCTGTGAAAAAGTGCTCGATGCGGGTTGCAGAGCGTTTCGATAGCGGTTATAAATTTTAATGACAGGAAGATCGTTTCACCGTTACTCTGAGTTTCACGCAGCTTGCGGTGCGATCGTCAGACGGTCTAACGATCGCAGTGCAAGCTGCGTGAAACTCAGAGTAACGGTGAAACGATCTTCCTGTCATTAATTTATAACCGCTAATCTATAATCTATGTACACATGAATAAAAATAATTCTAAAAATAACAAAAAAACATTAAAGATATAAATATTACCGCTGAATTGATCTTAGCTTAGACTCAAAAAACATTATCGGCCAGCTTGACATCTACTGCAGGCTTATTCTATAGTTGAGCGCACCTATAAGTAACAGAGTTCCTCATAAAATTAAGATTAAATTTGGGAACGCAAAGCTGGTCAAAGACTGACACCATTTCTTAGAAAGGAAACAAAAGTGGAGGAAGAAAAAAAATCAAGACTCAGGATTCTGTTTGGAACTTCACCAAAAACATTATTCGCTTTTAAATCACCGTGCCTCGGTGATTTACCTAGACATAACAACATTCGCTCATGCGCAATCGTTTGACCGCTGTGTTGTTGTAACGCGATGTCTAATGTTGGTCTTTTTTGCATTTCAAAAAATAAATACTTTTCCTGATTGCAAATAGCTTTCATAGGGGGTGTAGTTGATTATAATCTCTTAATTTGTTCACTGCTTTGTTCGAGCCGGATCAGTTCAAATCTAACCGAAACTCAAATATACTGAGAGGCTTTCGAGATAAACATCAGCGCAGTGCGTGAAGATCATGTCGAAATATAAATATCAGGAACTATTGAATCATTCGATAGGTTTTCTACAATAAAACATATATTATTTTTTCCCCTGACGAGTTTTATAGAAGTTTCTGCTTTCCATTTGTCATATCTGGTCTCAAAGAACATTTCAAGAAAATACTCTCTGATTAGTGTAAGAAAATAATATTCTTGGCTTTTACTTCCTTGAAAAATCGAATATTAGACATTAGTGTCCAATTTTAGACACTAGTGTCCGATCTCAGACACCAGAGTCCGATTTTAGACACTAGTGTTCGAGTTTGGACACTAGAGGGTGATGTTTAGCACCGGTGTCCGATTTTGGACACCACTGTCCAATTTTAGACAGTAGTGTCTGATTTTAGAAAGTAGTGTTTCCTTTGAGACACTAATGTCCGACTTTAGACACTAGATAATTTGGATATATCAACAAAGTTGAAGTGGCAAATTGGCCACCGTAACGATTACAAAAGCTGACGTTTCGAGCGTTAGCCCTTCGTCGGAGCGAAGAGAGGAATTGTGGGTTGTGTGTGCTTTTAAAGGCAGAGAATGGAGCTACGTTATTGGTGGGAACATGGCAACGAGAAAAACAAGAATAAACTAGTGGAATGAAAAGCGTTCGTTGATCCCTGTGGGATTTAGACTGCCGGTTTGAAAGATGAGCTTTTGTTCAAGATTTTTACGGCTTTCCGTGCTACCTAAGTGTAAGGAAAGACCGCAGATTGCCATATGTTGCTTACAATGATTAGGTAAATTAAAATGTCTAGCGACTAGTTTCGATGTGTCCTTGTCATTTCTTTCCACGTCTCGAAGATGTTCTCGGAATCGGTCACCCAGTCTTCTGCCTGTTTCGCCGATGTATATCTTTTTGCAATAAGTGCAAGTTATGCAATAGATTACATTGGCGGAGGTGCACGTGAAGTGATCGGTGATCTTAATGGATCGTTTAGGTCCCGATATTTTATCAGTGTTGTGAATGAAAGGACACGTTTTGCATCGTGCACGAGCGCATTTAAAAGTGCCTGGTTGGTCATTAGTCTGAAAAGAACTTCTGACCAAAAAATTGCCTATGTTTTTGTCGCGTTTGAATGAAATGAGCGGAGGCTGCGAAAAGATAGTGCTTGTCTCTGGATCGTTTTGAAGTAATTTAAAGTTTTTAAGAATGATGGATTTAACTGAGTGGTTGTGAGGGTGAAACGTGAGAGTGAATGGAATGCGGTCGGAATCTTCCTTATGCGACGTTTGTAGTGCTGAATGTCGATCAATAAGTTGAGCGCGGTGGTAACCCGCTTGAACCACGTTTTTTTGGTTTTAGTAATGAATTTACTCCTGGAAATAAACTGGATACTTTTTGTGGGAGTCCCCCTTATGCTGCACCAGAACTGTTCCAAGGCAAGAAGTATGATGGACCAGAAGTGGACGTGTGGAGTCTAGGTGTAATTTTATACACTCTAGTTAGTGGATCTCTCCCGTTCGATGGCCAAAATTTAAAAGTAAGAATAAGTTTGTTAAGAGTAGCTTGAACCACGTTTATCGAAGAACT